GCGATCATTTCGTAAGGTTGTACCTCAAACTGTGAAAATTTTGTTCAGGCCCAGCTACGGTTTTCTTATAGTGCTTCAGACTGACCGTTCAAATTAAACGCCTCCGAATTGTTGGGAATATTTCCGCTATACAAAATGTATGAAAACCTAATAGAAAGAAGAGGATTTGAATGAGTGGTTAGAAATTCTCTATTTAGCTAAACGATTTTGGTTGCTAACACCACCACCATCATATTTCCTTGATGCATCAAGTAATCAAGTGATTGTAAAAAACTCGTTTCCAAGATATTCAGTCTGTTCGAGCCACTGATGGGTATCGCCCATAAAATTGGTTTCTATAGACACGAAGAAGCTTGGATAAAAGCAGATTCCCACTTAAAATGACAACTGAAAGCTCGACAGTCACACTGAAACAATCTAGCTGGCCTGTCAACGCCCAGACCGGCTGAATGAATGGCGTTCGGTAAGTCTCTTAAGTGGTCTAGTTCTTCACTTGGAACCTTTTCGCTCACTGATTCCCAAACCAGTCAGTTGTTCTTCATATGGAACAGATAGATTTCAATGGAATAAACTTGACTTTCAGCACCTAGTTCGTACGACCCGTACAGCAATGTTTCATATACGCGAATCAACAAGTCCAGAAGACGCGATGGACTAAGATCTGAGCAAGATCGAATCTACAATCGACCACCACCAGTCGTGAAGAAGATCTTCCTAAGACCGAACCAAGATGCCCAATTCAAGTATGTCCACGATATGTGATAAACTTGAGCTAAACTAAGAGCAAGGTCGATAACCACATAAATCCTCGCTTTTTTTTTTCGAAATCGCATAAAGCTAAGTCAACCTTTCAAACAGCCCAGAATGCAGCAGCATTCATCTCGCCCTTACTCGTTTAGCTCTCCTTATCAATCACACAAAGCTCGATCGTTCACAAAAAAGTGCGCGTTCTTGATAATAAACTTCTGAATCGCAAATATTCGGCTAGTGTGTTCACCGTATAATTATCTCGATGATCTTCCCGGCTAATATTCCGATCCACAATTTGGTATCTTGTATGAACGAGTTGCTTTTGATGAACACACCTTGTAAGAAATGCCTTTCTGGTTTGGGAAGATCTCGTTTCACTTTTCGTCCCATACAGTAATCTATCTCTTCTGATGAATCCAATTGAGCAATATTTAGACCAAAACAATTCATATGGCGTGTTTGGAGGATTCCGCGACTGAAAAGTTTGATTCAAGAAGCCGGCGAGTTCTTGGGTTACGACGATGGTGTTGCAGAATGCCTGTATGACATGAACGGACGATTAATCCAGAATGAAAATGAAATTGATAACGGACAGACATATATTCTGGCTGGAATGGAACCTCTCAATATGAAGTAGGTGCATCAGTGAAGATTTAAACTCGATGTGAAACGAAACAGATAGGAGGACAGCATAAGATATCCCTGTATTTCACAATAAGTTCACAAGCCGTATTTCACAATGCATGTTTCGAAATTTCACAATAACTTTCACAAAAGGCACTCTGATCTTATTTTCAGTTTGCTCTCACCTT